TCCTCCCCCCCGCCCCCACACACAGAATGGGGGGAAATTGTGATGATACTGTTCCAAGCTCTGCCCACTAGTTTCCAAACTGAGATGCTGCTCACAGTACATTTCACAGATGTTTAACATATGATTTTTTTGTTCTCTGAACTCTACTAGTTCCTTTAGCTTGGTTCCATCTCAGTGGTGCCTGAATATGCCACTGGCTCCAACATGCATCATGGGCTTTTAGGTACAAAGGGAACAAATATCCAAATGCCATTCACTTTTGGCACTAAAATGAGACAACCAGGTATAGATTGTGAAGATCTGGGATCCCCTCCCTCTCTTTTCCTACATAAGGAATAAAATAATTAAAAATAGTGTCATTTAAATAATCACCACTGGGCATTTGAACTAAACCGTCATTGAGATAAATGGGGCAGCTTGCCTCTTCAAACTAATGTCCTTGGCCGTTTGCAGACTCAAGTAGAACTCTGCATCAGTTAATCTTTTAAAAAAAAAAAAAAAAAAAAAAAAAAAAAAGTGTCCTCAGCATTTCTTCACAAATAGCTAGATTTATTATTCTTTTTCTGAAAACTGGGATAATAAGTGTAAGAGAACAGCTTCAGAAAGGCTCCCGAACAGTGTATATTAGCTCAACTTAAACATCAACATATACATGCTTATCACACTGATTGGCAGTTGTGTAAAACACTTTGAACACTTGAAATTATACATAAAAACATTGGCATTATTATTGTAAGGCACCTACTGAAAAGGATAGAGGTGACAGGACACTTAATTTGCTAGCTACTGTGTACTAAAACATGTCAGCGTACTGAGTTCTTCCATTCTTGTTCTGTGATTTTACAGACTGCAATATTATGTATTCCTCTCTCTCCAATTACATTTTTATACAAGGAACTGATATATGGTTCTCAAAGAGAGCTTACTTTCATAGGATTAAATGTAAAGCAGATAAGATGCAGTCAAGTAACAAAATATTCTACTTTAAAAGTCTTTCAGAAAATTATATTTAGTCTAGCATGCCAAGGAGAATATTTGAGACTTTCAAGAATACTTCCACTAGTATCAAACGAGTACCTTTTCTGGCTAAGATATTATCCCTTTTATGCATTTTCCTGGGTGTCCATTCGGAGGAAAGGTAGACTCACTAGCTGATAACTGTTCTGGGGCATTCTACTTTCAACAGTTCCATTTCAAAGCTACCCCATTAAGGAAAAATCAATTAAAGGGAAGCAGCTCATGCATCCTTAGATATATTTTTAAAACCTCTTCAGTCAATAAGATAAATGATGTTTACAGATGTCCAACTATAGCATTTTCTCTCTAAATTATGCATCTTTTAGATAAAACTACTTATAGTTACACATACATAAATTGCCATACAAATTTCACTTCTACTGCAACAGCTGTAGTCTGTTTAGTAACTCTACTAAAAACCATCTATTTACATAATGGTTATCTTTTGTGAAAAGTTTTTATCCAAACATCTCAAAGGCTTATTGTGCAAACATAACTGGCCAAGGTGGGAAAGAGGGAAAGAAAAAAACCAGGAGACTAATGCCAATTCTCATTACCTGAACTATCAGTAACAGGTGTAAATGAAAGGATTTGGGGCTGTATATGTCTGGTTATTTCCCTCTGCCAAGAACAAACTGCTGATCAACACTTTAAAATCAATGACTTCAAATGACTAACATATCTGATCTGAAACTGAACAGAAATAAATTGCTCTGCTGTCTCAATTTCTCGGTTATTATCACTGGACAGAAGTAATACCCCATGCTACATTTCAGGGCTAGCCACTGCACTTTTTCTAATGTACAATGTAGTATAGAAATGGTCAAATCACACTACTGGAATAGGAGGAATTTTACAGAGGAAAAGGGTTACTCTAGAAAAACAATGAGGGGTCCTGTGGCACCATAGAGGCTAACAGATTTATTAGGATATAAGCTTTTGTACTTAAAACCCACTTCATCAGATTAATTAGAGTGGAAGTTACAGAAGCAGAAGTGTGTGTGTATATATACACACACACACACACACACACACACACACACACACACACACACACGGAAGAAGTTGCTTGTGTTAATGAAGCTCATCAAGTGAGGATAGAAATGGGGCACACTTAGCATTTGGTGTAAAGATGTGAATATTCAGAGAGGGGAAATTGCCTTTGTAATGAGTTAACCAGTTGAGGTCCTTATTCAGTCCTAAATTGATAGGAGTTGAATTTCCACATGAATTCCAGTTCAGATGTCTTCCTTTGTAACCAGTTTTTGAAACTGTTTTACAGAAGAATGGCTATTTTCAAATCTATTACTGAAGGTCCAGGGAGGTTAAAGTGCTCCCCCACAGGCTTATGTGTGTTACCATTCCTGATGTCTGATTTGTGTCCATTTATCCTTTGGTGTAAAGACTGTCCAGTATGGCAGAGGGGCATTGCTGGCATGCATCACATTAATGAATGTGTAGGTGGATGACCCCCTAACGATGTGACTTATGTGGTTAGGACGTGTGATGGTGTTGCTTGCATAGATATGTGGACAGAGCTGGCAATGGGGTTTACTGCAGGGATAGGTTCCTGGCTAAGTGTTTGGTGCATGGTGTGGATGCTGATAGATATTTGCTTCAGGTTGGGGGATGGGTTCGATAGTTATTTCTCCTTCCAACTGCTTGCATTCCAGAGAATATTTCCAAACAGCATTTCATCCTGAGATTGAAAGCACCAGTTACTACATCCATGGTTTGTAAGTGCAGCTCAAAAGTTTGTCTGATAGATAAATAGTAGCTTACTTGCTGCCTGTTACGAGCTTTCAGCTATCCTGATCTGCTGGAAAATAAGATTTCACATAGATTTCTCCAACACAGCACTTCCCCAATACTCACTACTTTTCTCAGATTGAATAATTGATAATAAGCCAAAGAGCACAAGGTAGCAGATTTAAAACAAACAAAACAAAGTTTTTTCTTCATGCAGTGCACAGTCAACCTGTGGAACTCTTTGCCAGAGGAGGTTATGAAGATGAGGACTTTAACAGGGTTTAAGAAAGAACTAGATACATTCATGGATGTTAGGTCCATCAATACTTATTAGCCAGAATGGATAAGAATGTTATCCCTAGCCTCTGTTTGTCGGGGGCTGGAAATGGATGACAGGAAAGGGATCACTTGATGATTACCTGTTTCTGTTCGCTCCCCCTGGGGCAGGGGTGTTCAAACTTTTTTCAAAGAGGGCCAGATTTGATGAAGTGAACATGCGTGAGGGCCGACCATTTTGCCTGACATTCTTTGAACCATTAAAATTAAATGCAAATTAACTATTTTATGCAAAGTTTATTGCAAACGGCATACTTTTCATTTCGTCACATGGATGACAAATCTAAACAGGTGTTAAATCACTCTGCCTTTCATATCTGAAGGCCAGATGAAAAAAAAATCCAGGAAGCTGAAATATATGTCAGGAACATTGTAAAGTACATTACATATTATTGGTAATAAAGGTTGTCTGTCAACTTTTAAGTTCAAAAAATATGAACAGGAACATAACACCAAGTATACATGTTGTGTCTAAATATATTTATAACTGATTTAGACCAACTGACATTAACTGAGATTTTACAATGTATTCATCTCAATACATATGGATTCATTGGGGGCCATAAAAGATAGATATTGCCAAATTACCTGGGGGGCCGTATTAAACCGGAACACGGGCCACAATTGGCCCGCGGGCCGGACTTTGGACATGCCTGCCCTGGGGCATCTGGCATTGGCCACTGTCAGCAGACAGGATACTGGGTTAGATGGACCTTTGGTCTGACCCTGTTTGGCCATTCTTATGTTCTTAAACACTGTGGGAGGTACACCCCTCAACCATCTTGTCAGCACCAATCCTGTCAAAAGCCAGCAGGGGATACACATTTAGTGTCTATTTACTATACAAGCTTCCAGTCTCCAATTGTCAAAAACCTTGTTTTACATGAGTCTTCCAAAGATATACTACAAAACGGTCAAATTCCTTGTAACATCTTACTGGATTGGTCATTAGAGCCATATATAATAGTATTTAAAACCAATGGGGTGTATTAAACAACAAAACTCACTTTTAAATGTATAATGTCAGTGATGCAAAATAAGCACCTTTGAAAACATAACTCCAACTATACATACAAAATGAAGGCATCTAAATTAGCTGTTACCTCTCAGGAAAGAGATCTTGGAGCCATTGTGGATAATTTTCTGAAAGCATCCACTCACTGTGCAGTGGTAGTCAAAAGAGTGAACAGAATGTTGGGAATCATTAAGAAAGGGATAGATAAGAAGACAGAAAATACCATATTGCCTCTATCTGGACAATATCAGAGTATGGAAATTGTATGGAGGATCATGAATGCTCACAAAATTGGGTTAGGGTGCAGGAGGGTATGAGGGCTCTGGCTGGGGGTGAAGGCTCTGGAGTAGAGCTGGAGATGAGTGGTTTGGGGTACAGGAGAGGGCTCCAGGCTGGGATTGAGAGGTATGGAGGGTAAAAGGCTGGGATCAAAGCTGGGGTAGGAGGTTGGTGTGGAGGGGAGAGGGCCTTGGTTGTAAGTTCCAGGTGGTCCTTACTAGCTCCTACACCAAGGCACTGGCAAGTGGCTCTGCACACTGCCCTGTCCACAGGTATTGCCCACACAGCTCCCATTAGCTGCAGTTCCCAGCCAATGGGAGCTGTGGGAGTGGCATATGGGGCAGGGGCAGCACACAGAACCCCTTAGCTGCCCCTATGCATAGGAGCAGAAATGGGGACACGCTGCTGCTTCTGAGAGCGGTGCAGAGCCATGGAGTGCACAGAGCAGGGCAAGCCCATAACCCCACTCCCTAGCAGGAGCACAAGGGCTGGATTAAAATAGCTGACAGATGTGGCCGGTGGGCCGTAAATTGCCCACCCCTGTTCTAGTCTGTTTGTCTGTAGCAGGAAATGGGCAACAGAAGATGGCTCACTTGATTAGTACCTGTTTTCTTCATTCCCTCTGGGCACTGTAGTAAGCATGGAGAACCCCTCTCTGAGCCTGGGTGGGCTAAGCCGTGCCCTGCCCCTTTAACTCCCCAAAAGCCAAGGGGCGGGGTGAATCGTATAAAAGCTCAGCCCAGGAGCTCAATAGGGCTCCAACTGCTACGGGAAGCAGAGGCCTGCCCTAAGCTCCTGAGCTGGGAGGCCATTGAGGACTCTACAGAGGCCAGGACTGGCCCGGACCACCAGGCCCCCAGACCGATGAGGAAACCCTGTTGACCATGCCTCAGGGTTCAGAACTCAAGAACCTGCTGCAACGCCAGGTATACTCCAAGGGGGAGTTTGGAAGTGGCCCTGGGAAGTAGAGGACAATCAAGCTGATCCCATTATATTCAAGTGAGTCGGTGTGTTGTGAGCTGGATCCCCGCTGACTCCAGTGGCAGGCAGTCCTGGGCCAGGACACATTGGAGTAGGGAGGGCCTACACCCTGTTACCCTAGAAAAGGGGGCTGTATTATAATTTAGTTCAGTGGGCTCCATTTTGAAAGAGACAGTTTCTTTTCTCTACGTGATGGAGGTTTTTCCCGCTCAAACTGTTGATTTGCACACGGCACTACCTTGTGCACCCCTCTCAAGCAGGCTGCGCACCCGTTACTATCTGGTGCACTCAGCACCAAAACCACTGCACACAGCCCCTAGGAAGCTGCACTCAACCCCTAAGTTCATTGGCATACTTACCTAAGTTCATTAGCATATTTTTTCCTGCCTCTGGGCCAATAAGAGCCCTGAGGTATCAGGGGCTTGGGTCCTTGGATATTCCCCAGCCTTGGATTGGTTTTTGTTGTTGCTCCTTGTACTGTTTGCCTGAAGCTTGGATACCATCTATGTAATCAGAGGCCTGGACTTTTGAACTGTGCTACCCTTGTGTGGTAAATACCCACAAGGTTTTCCTGTCTGCACTGGTCACTGGAACTGGGACTCTCTTTTCCTGTCATCTTTATTGGATTACTCACCTACTGGAGCAGACGGTGTTGTCGAAGGACAGATCAGACTGTGTCCAGAGGGAATTCCTTTCCAGATCGAGGATCCATATCGGGGTCGTCTCTTCACAGAGGACTCACTACCGTGGGATCTCCCTGCTTGTCCTCCCCAGAGGCTTACAAATAGCCCGAGGGTTGAAGGTCGCAGGCATCGATCGCCTCAGGCTTTGTATATACCTTATGTATTTAGGGAACTGTCCTATCTCCTTTCTTCGGGTTAGGGAGGGTTGGTTTGTTGAAAATTACTGTTAACTGTATATCTGTTCCATTATTTACTCAAAAATACATGGTTTGGCCCTAGATTGTGTATGCCTGATTTGTGGCTAAAGATCCACCGGTAATTAGATACGGCTCTCAGGACGGATCTCTCTTCTGTGTAGGGACTCCCTCTCCCCGTTTTATATCCACTCTGTCGGCCATTTTGATTTAATTGTTCGTCCACGTCCCTAGGGCAACAACCCTGGGCAGCAGTCTCCCCTCTCCTGCAAGTGAACAGCTGTTGGTTTACCTGCCCCACGGCCTGGCTCTACCTAAATTGTTGAACTGCACTTACTTGCTTGCCCTGCCGTGTACTCAGGGTGCAGCTTGAAAGGGACCATCGCAGGTTTATTTACTGGCCCAAGCATAGTCCTGAGCCCCAGGACTAAGCAAGATGGCTTACATAAGGTGGAGAATGTGGGCACTGACCCCACCCCTGAAGTAAGGGGTTTAAAGACTTCCAGGTCATATAGATAGATAGATTTTAAAGAGAGAGAGAGGGAAAAAAAGCCAGGGATGGATCCAGGGATAGAGCCAGAGAAAGAGCCAGGGATGGATCTGGACAAATAATTTAAATTCCTGGCCAAAAGCAGCAACATCAACAAATGCTGCAGCAGATGGGGGTACAACACCAGCAGCAGCAACAGCTGATGCAACAGATGGGTGAACAGCAACAAAAGCTCCTGCAGCAGCTAACAAGCCAGCAACAGGAACTCCAGCAACAATGCTTCCAGCAACTGGCAACCCTCTGATCCCAATCCAGGAGTCCAGCCCCACGTTCAGGCGGGGACCCCCTAGTATCTCCTGCGCCCACCTGCCTCTCCAAGATGGGGCCGGATGGCAATCCCAAGGGCTTTCTAGAGACCTTCAAGTTAGGAATCTGTGACTAACTCAACTATCCAATAAATAAAAGCTTATCGGATAGTCGACTAGTCCCTCGACCAGTCGCTTTCCCTGCCCCTTGCTACCTCTGTCAGAGGCAGCAAGGCGGGGAGCAGGAGCCAGTTCTGTGGGGAGGGAGGGAGAATTGGCTTGTCCTCACGAACTACATGACCCGCTTTCCCGAGGCCATCCCACTACGAAACACTATTGCCTCTGAATTGGTGAAAGTGTTTGCCTCGGGTAGGGCTTCCCCAGGAGCTACTGACTGATCAGGGAACCAATTTTACATCCCAGCTGCTCTGCCACGTGTGTGCCCTGCTCGTCATCCAGGAATTGCAGACCTCAGTGTACCACTGAGACAGATGGGTTGGTTGAGCATTTAAACCAGACACTGAAGGGGATGTTAAGGAAGTTCCTTGCCACAGTGGGATCTGTGCTTTTCAAAGATATACTCCAATCAATAGGATTAATAACTTTTTACCCTGAATGATTTCTGTTATCTTTTATAAATATATTCACCTAAGTAAAAGACCCAGCAACACAAATTTTCTCACATTTCAGATTTTAAAAAATCCTCCAACACAAATAGAACTAGGAAAGTGAAATGTAGAAAGAAAATTCCTTAGACAAAAGCTAAATGACATAGGAAATTCAAATTCTTCAACGTTTTAATAAACCAGTACATAGGGAGAATGTACATCTTCCAGAAATACAGAATGTCTTAAGATTTACCATCACTAAGTAGAACAATCTACACTCCCAACTAAAGCAGCAGAGAGGATTTTTTTATTCCATGTAATATGATATCTAAAAACTGTAGCACAAAAAGGCATTTTGACATTAATACCAAAGAAGAAAATAAATAAATAAAGGTGACACGATATTTAAGAATTAGAGAATCATTTCTAACAATAAAATAGTGATAATTACCCTGATTTCTTTTCTCTCTTACCAACACCAAGCCCTCTGTGTGGGGAAAAAAAAATAAAGCTAACCACGTTATGGACCTAGTGGCAAAATAGTTTAGCTCCACTCATACTACAAGCTTTCAGCAACATCAGTGTGTGCAAAAAAATATAAATAAGGTAAGCTATTCATACATCAGCTTAGTATACTAAATAAACAATTTTCAGACAGAAGTGTGATTAACTTTCTCCATTAACAAAAAAAAAGTTTGCAGAAGCACTTCTATTGTTAAGTTTTACAGAACTGTTTTTACAAACAAATGTTGGGAGAAATGTGACCTGAGCATATTCCTTTACATCTGAGATTGAACAGAGTAAAGAGGTTTTTAATAATGAAACCTCACAGCATATCTGCCGCACCACTGAGCACCCCAAACATTCATATCACTGCAGAGTGGATAAAATAAGAGGCGTTTAAAAATATAAATTCCAATTATTTGTATTTAAACTAAGCAAGTGGTACATATTTGCTGCTAAGTTTGGGGTTTTTTTAAGTCAAGCAACCGATCTGGTAGAAGTCACTTGGAACCAGAATCTGTTGCTCAACAAGATCTGCACACCATATGATGAGGTACAGAAAATCTATACTGGAGGAACAGGAGGTTAAGGAACATGTCTGGGTCCAGGTGTCCCCACACAATCACACCTGCAAAACCTGCACAAGTTAGATGGAGGAGGGGGAGCTAACAGTTAAAGGGAGCAGCTGCTGCTCAGGAGCACCTTCTCTGAGATCTGGTAAGGCAGACCTGAGCAAAACCATAAAGGAGAGGCAGGTGACTGACTGTTTAGGTCAGCCACTTCGAGATTCTCTGATTTACACTGCAAAGTAAAGGAGACTTTGGCTATTAGGAGCTCCAGTGGGGAAGCTTCTTAGCTCTCCAGTGCAGAGTAGTTGCTCACCAATGAGTCCTGGACCAGAGGCCGATAGAAAGGATGGACCCAAATTCCCCTACCCACTCCAAGAAACAGTGACAATAACACAAGCCATCACCTCTGTGGAGAACCCAGCAGGGGAGAAACACTCTGACAGTTCATTTGTCCAGATCCCAGTGTCCCTGTGCTAAAAGCCAGGACTAGCAACGCCATGGGAGGGCACTGAAGGACAGGACTATATTTCCAAAGAGGAAATGGCCTGCCATGCTTCTGCCTGACCACTAGGCAGCACTGTTGGTGACTGCTCTCCTTCCACAACCAGTAGCCTCTTCTGCTTGTGCAGGAAATATTTTCTCCTTTCAGTTTATTCCACTAGTTCAGTTACATGATAAACGAATGGGAGTTAAAAAAGAAAATAAAGTGGTTCCTCTCTTTCAATCCATTGGTAAAACTAGGTCAGAGTATAAAATCTCATACTAAGGTCTTAGAAGCGCAGAAACAATCAGTTCAATTCACCAACTATAAATAATACATACTTCTTTTCTTTAAAGGAACAGTTTTAAATGTGAAACATGTTTGGATAAACTATTTTTTCTTATGTATCCAGCACATACAAAGTAAATGAACTTTAAAAAAAAAACACCAAAATGATGTTCTGTGCATTTTAATTTAATTTTCTAAATAGAGCTTCACAGAAATCACAAGTATACAATCTAATACATAAGAAATCCATTGTTCATCATTTTGTATAATAAATAATATAAAATGACTCTGAAAAAGTGTAAGTTAAGCTACACACTCATGTAAGTATATTGTATGGATATACAGTAATATGTCCTCCTGGTTAGCAAAAAGAAGCATCAATTATTTAGCTGCAAATCAGCACCTTTTAAATAGTTTATTGTCCTTGTTTGGTAATCTTTCATTGGAAAAGAACTAAAGTACAAATGCAAAAGATTAAAATCAATTATGTGAATTAAGGTTTCCTGCTTGCTGATTTAAATCAATCTATCCTGTCCACA